AAAAATAACGTTGAAAAAAGTTTTGTTTGTTTTTTTCTCTTTCAGGATTATTTTTGATTTTTTTTGTTTCATAGATGGAGCGTTTGTGATGATGTTTCTCGTCAAGTTGCCGACATAACATCAACTAAACGCACATATATGGAGTGTCAACGTAACGCATATCGAATGAAACGCTGACATTTCATCGATATGCGTTGCGTTCGATATTTCGTTGACATCGGAACGTTAGCGCAACGCACATCAATGAAAACGTTGGCGCTCCGTCCATGCTTCATGTGCATTCCGTTGTCAACGGAACATCAACGCAACATTCATCAATAAAACGGTAATGTTCCATTGATGTGCATTGTGTTGACGTTTTGTTGACAACGGAACGTTAATGCAACGCAACGCACATCCTTGAAACGTTGACGCTCCGTCTACGCTTCAGGTGTGTTTTGTTGTCAACGGAATATCAACGGAACGTACATCAATAAAATGGTGACGTTTCATTGATGTGCGTTGCGTTGACGTTTCGTCGTCAGTGGAATGCATATGAAAAAAGTAGTAATGAAAAGAAATTTTTCAATGCTTTTTTTCATTCGCATAAATTATTTATAACTTCCACTTCATAATGAAAAATATATTCTTTCAAAGCATTAAAAAATGCAGTATTCGGTATTTCACAAGATTTTTCTAATAATTCTAACTTTCCAGAATTAAAGTCTGGTTTATCTTTGAAAAATCTTTCAATACTATCTATTATACTATAATAATCAACACAAAAGTTAATGTTTTCCAATAAGGCAATTCGATGTGATAGCAAATTCTTATCAGCTTGGATTACTTGGTATATTTCTTCTTCGTAAAACAGGAATTCAATACCGTGTTCCACAATCGCTAAGCACTTCGTATCATCATATACCAATTGTGTGACTTTACAATAATCACCACAAGGGAATATCGTACGATTATACTCATCTGAAAATGTTGAAAGGTCTTCTTCGAAAAAGTCAGTCTTCTTCTGTATGAGTAGCTAGATAGTAGCCCATTCGAATATGCTGAACGATATTTTCTCTGGTTTGAAAGGTTGCTCCACAACAATTGTCGCACTGAATGTTCTAGCTAGAGATAATCCTACCACTATTTCATAACCTCCAAGAGAAAACAGTTTGAAGCAGTGAATGACATTCATTTTTGGCAGACACTTCATATTTCATTGAAATTCTATCTAATTCTTTGTTGTAATCAGACATATTGGTATCATTACTGAAATAACCACAATCTTCAGAACTCATGTTAATATATGTGTGTGTGAAGGACTTCACACTGCTTACTGCTGTTGAAAAAGTACGAATCTGTTTCAATATACATTCAATTCATACATAACCCCCACCACTCTTCGACATCAAAATGTACCTACTTTCCAGAATTGAAATCATACGTGCACATCCAAAAAGTAGTTACAGAATATCTGTTTTCTCTATCCAACTGTTATGTTTGCTATCTGAACCGAGCCATTTCACATACATTCTTTTGCCTTTTTTTCTCGGCACTTTTTCCACGAGACATACATCAGGATTCGCAGTTTTTTCCAATTCTTTCCCACAGAAAGTACCTCTAATAGGTGCACCATGCATATCTTCAAGCATAAAAGTGGCGGGGTTAGTAATGTTGACTTTGATGATTTTGAATAATTCCGTAGTCCAATTGGATATGTAGCCTTTTTCTTGGACCAGATATTTTCAGGTGGGAGTTTGTTGAATTGAGAATTTGTTTTTCGTTGTTTTTGTTGACTTCCGAAGGTTTTGCGCCCGTCTTTGAGTGCCGCTTGTCATTATGGGATTTTGTGATTTCAGGCAAAATATTCAGCCAATTGTAGGTGCCATTCAAACTGAAATATTTGAAAAGTCTTCCTTTTAACGTTCTTATGACACGTTCAGCCATAGAAGCCTTCATGAGGCCATATGTATGGTAGTAATTTATTTCATGTTTTTTCATTGAAGTTTGAAATTAATTATTGTAAAACTCCGTCACCTGATCGGTTTGTAGATTATTTGGACAAGGTTTCGTATGTTCCATAATATCTGAAAATGTTTTGACGATCTCCTCTCTTGTTTTGGATTTCAGCGGTCGGGTCTACACGAATTTCGAAAAACAATCGATGACAATTGAAATGAGATTGAAATTTCGAATTTGATGGACGAAAGTTCTCATTTCCGCCAAGTCCATCTGCCACAGATCATCCTGTACTTTGATAACGGTATGACGTCGTAGAAAATTTTTTCTAATAGGTTTATGCAGTTCACTAACGAGTTGAATCTTGTCTTTGGAAGCTATGTGATGGACTGATGGTCGAGAATGTTAAATTTGTTATTTTATTATGAACTACATTTTGTTGATTTTCTTGATATCAGATTGTACCTTCGCTAAATCCGAATTTATTTTGGAAATTTATTTGGAGATATCACCTTGAAAGTGCTCCATCATGTCGTTTTGTTCAATTTTCAAAGTTTTGTTATGCGAATGAACCAAATCGGTGATTTCTGTTATTTTCGTTAACAAATCTGCTTGAATATTTTCAATATTAATTAGATATTGCTGATTGAATTTTTTGTTACGCGCCACCGCCTCGTTATTGCGTACCATATTCGTTTGTAGCATTTGAATAAAATTGGTATCAAGTTTTTGAAATTTAGCGTCGAATCGTTTGTTCACATTCTCCTGTTTTTGAATGTCTTTACTCATGTTTTTTACTTTATCATTAACTTAAGTTATTTGATGTTGACATTGATCGACTTGCTCTCGCATTTTGTTAGATTTTCATTTACTTACCATTTGTTTTTGATATCGACCGCTTTTATTCTGTATAGTTACATAAATTATTTTCTCAGCTTCATTCATGTACTCTTTGTTGACTGCATCTGATGCGTTCGTGGGTCTTTCCACATTACATAATTTGAAATTATCGAAATCAATGTTGCCATCGGGTGTGTGTAGTAAACCTCCACCGATTTTCATGATAATTTTGCATTATTTTCCGTAGCATGTTACAACGTAAATCATATGGGTTTCTGCACGAGATGATGATTTGAAAAATACGTTTTTTTCGTTGCGATTGAAGTGACAGAAATGATCGTGTTATCGCATTGAATTTTCGACATTTTTTCGTTACGATTTTTATGTCAATTTTGCATTATCGCATCGAATTTTTGGAATGAAATACATGTGATTTTGAATGATTCATTCCTGAATAATGTTGGCTTCTCTGAGTTCATTGAATATAGCTGTAACTTCATTGTCATGTGACATATTTCCAGCATCTTTCGAAGCTATAAGGAGCTTCAATCTATCGCATAACTCGTTCGGATTATCCCAATACACATACTCGAGGGGCTTGTCATTATATATCCAACGATGAGTATTGATGGCATTCGCTTGTAAAATGCTGGAACCAACTACATCATTGCTCACTACATTATCGTTACCCTTACCAAGTGTTTGATTACGAATCATGGGCCTTATTACATCTGACCATTTTCATTTTTGTGTTCCCTTCATGGATCCTCTGGCATCCAGGTGGGCTTGTGTTACTTCCAACAAACGTTTATAAGAGGCTCGATCCTCTTTATTATAGTCTTCAGGTTTATCGAGAATGATCAAATTATATAGTCCTGGAGTTCCTCCGAAGGAGACTCCTTCAGTTGTAATATTACCACGTTCATCAAAGTCAATGTAATTTCTACCGATAATTCATTTTGAAGAGGACTCATCATAAACTGGTCCGTATATTTTATCGATTGAATTGTCTTTAGCCCAGTGTTTCATGACATATTTGTGTGATATGGACAGATATTGCTCCAGATATTCAATCATACTCTCCTTTGAAATATTTTCCATTGATGGTGGTGGTGGTGGTGATTCGTGGAATACCTCATCATCATCATTTCCTGTCGATTCAGCAACATTTTCGAGTGGTAAAAATTGTGTATCTTCAAATGCTTGAGATTGATCGAATGGTTTCATTTTTATTTCATCTTTCTTCTCCTCCTTCTTGGTGACATCACTACGTCGTCTCAAATGACCTACCAATTTTACAGAGATTTCAGCAATATCCTTCAGCGGCTTAGATACAGGTTGAAAAAATTTTTGCATCGACTCATCCTCTTCAGACTTTCCCAATTTCAAAGCTAGATACTTTTTTCTTATGCTTTTTGCAATTTCGTTAATTTTGTTCCTGCACACAACATCAACTTCTTTACTAAGCGGTTTCATATTGACAAATAACGTTTCCATTTTTATTCACGCACATTTATGTATTTGTCGGAGCCTTCTCAATATCTCCCCTCATTTACATCGCATTCCTTGAAAATGATAAGAGTTCCATACTTGTCGCGCCAACATTCGGCACACATTCTTTTGAATCCATCGAAAGACATATCGGGAGAGACATGTTCGTCGAATACATGCTTCAGATTCATTTCGTCTTGCTTGAACAATACAATCATGTTACAATTGTCACGTATCAGTTGGTTAGGTATCTTGGAATAAGTCTGACACAAATACATGGCATCAATGCCCTTATGACGACCCATCGAATAATATTCACGAATTTTCTGCTGACCATCGCAGGCTACATCATTGAATATGAACATGGAATTTCGTTTAGACGCCTCTGAACTCTGAATATCTTCGTTGTCTTGAAATGGAAAATAACCGACAGGAGTCGGTTTTTTCCAATATCTCCCGAAGCAGCTGATACTTGGGTTGATAGAGCGACTTTGACTACACGTAGACATTTTCAAATTTGGCTCCATTCGGATGGAATAATATCGACAATGCTGCGTTGGTTTTTCCATACCCCGATGGACCACATATGATGGCGCGAAACGGATTGGGTGATAACTTGCCATGTTTTTTCCGATACTTGACACCATTATTCAAATAGTCCAAGTTGTCTATGTGTAACGTATTGTCTTGTGGAACGACCTCCATGTTCTGATTGGTGGTTGAGGGATTCACTTTGATATGTAGCGTGCGCATTGACGTCATCCATCATTCCTCATGTTGACTTATCGCGGAGAAGGTTTCGTCAATACGCTAATAGTAATAAGCTGCCATGCGAATTACACTTACCAGGCTATCAATATTGCGGTTCCGGTACGAAACTACGAGAACGTCTTTCACTAGGTGAAACCGGTGTAAATCCATTAGACGAGGCCTGTAGAGAACACGATATTGCATACTCTCAAAACAGCTCTTCATAACATCGTCACGGAGTTGATAAAATGTTGGAAAATGAAGCTTCGGAACGCGTTGAATCGAAAGACGCTGAATTTGGGAAAAAAGCTGCAGCTTGGCTCGTTACTACAACAATGAAGGCGAAAAGTGTAGCAGATCTTTTTTATATTGCTCTAGCCGGAAGTATAACCGGTCTATAAATGTTTCATATATTTATGATTGCCTAGTTCGACTGATGTGTGATTGTGATTGCAAAAGAAAATTATTTCCTTTACGCTGGTACTGCGCTTCTGATGCTCTCATTGATAGAGGGTGCCACGTATTCTACTCTGGTGGAAAAATGATTTTAAGTTCGAATTGCAAAAACTAGTTGAATACCAGAACGGAATTATCTGATTCTACGAGTGCTTTTTAGTGCTGATTTCTCATACAGAAACACCTCTGGTATAAATATAGCAAAATCTTGAAGATTCTGGCTTGTACCCGTATTTTTTGTAGCTACGTTAACCAAATTATGTAATCTTGTAATTTCCCAAATTTTTTCATATGAAATTTGTATTGTGGCAATTGTGTTTTCCATTTGTAAAAATATGTATTTTTTGTGAATACTGTTTCCTTTATCAATCTAAAGTTCCGGAATAACTCAGCTGGTTGAATAAACAGACAGTGGCTAAGGAAATCCAAAGACTTTCATTTCAAGAACCCACAAATCCTCGGTAATCGCGTCGACCCTGAGAATATACAACCGATCTTTTACATCTTAGCTCCATCTCGAGGCCCGATAGTTTTGGTTCCTGGCCAATATGGTTCTGGAGAAAACACCACCATATCAACTCCAGAGCAAAGGACAACATTCATCTCTTCACGACAACCAGCAACAGACATCACAGGGTGGCAGAGAAGGCGCTGGTAGGCTTTTTTAAGGAAATGCTTCAAAAGTTGAACAAGGTAACAATTTACAACTTCCACATGTTATGGCGGAAGGTAATACTGGATTACCTTCGTCACCTCTGCAGCGGGCAGTATATCAGCAGCCCACACTCCATGATGTTGCACCACCAGAAAACGCAGGTACCTGGAAGTGATTAAGGTCATGCAAAAAATAAATTTTCCCAACACTGTTAATGCTTTCCCTACATCGGCCAATCATTCTCAAACAAGGTTCCAAAATTCATTTCCAAATAAAAATTTTAATATTCCACGTTGGCACGAGATAAGCAATAACAATGTTACTCAAAATAGTCAGGAAAATAGCGTGTATAGTTTAGGTACCAGTTCAGGTCAAATTCCTTTTGGTATTAGAAATGATGTTGAAAATTTGCAATTGTAAGAAACGTTCGCAGATGATGACGTATCAATTGATTTTTTTGTTGTTTAGTGAAGTCAAGGCGATGTGACCTTGAAGTGTCTGGTGCATGAATCGTTCAGATTTTTTTTTCATATGAGATTTTGTGTGTGTGCTTGTGTGAGAATGTACAGTACAGGGTTTCATCATGTGTCCATCGGTGTGAGGCCACCAAGTTAGTGGTGGTGTGACGTCACAGTATCAACCGTTCAACGGTAGGAGAGCGAGATGTTCACTTCACGACGTGTGGCTGAGTAATGCGTATTCATCGGTGTGCCCTCACCTCTCTCGATGCGATGAAGGCTAAAACGTAACGTGTCACCTCACAAACCACAAGAGGAGACTAAATCATCTGTCGGTAACAAATAAGACCGATGGGTATCCGCGGCTAAGCTTAACAGTGGAGACGGGAGTGGGTTAACCAAATTAGCAAATTTCAAATAGATCTTGATGGGCGCCAGGTAAATTTAATCCTCCAGATACCCTAAGTAACTCACAATATCAATAATTTACCAATTAATATTGGAAATGAAAGATAAAGATCCCCAATATGATTTATTCAGAAAACCTGACTTACATGGATTAACCGACAACGCTTCTAAGACAACAATGCGATATTCACACTACTACTCGATGTTCAAATGTCAATACAAGAGCGCGGTGTATATAATCACAAATTCAATCAGCCATAAATTACGGTGGTAACGACGCTCAAAAAAAACTACAATACGTCATGTAAAACTACCACGAAACTTGAGTAGGTGTGAGCGAAATCGTAAATACTAGTATTGGAAGGTAAGACAATCTCGTTTGCGTCGCGTGAGCTTAGGCGTAGGCGCATCGGTGTCAACAAACAATTGTAAAAGGAAGTAAACACCTCAATTTGCGTTTTACAAATAAAACCAAATACGTAATCAACTAGCGGTGAATTCAGCCAGAAAGGCAATCACTATATCAAAGAGGTAACAATAAACAAAAGGGCAAACAATTATTTAAACAGGTAACAATAAACGAAAGGGCAAACAATTATTTAAATAACTCAATATTATACAACTATTCAAATAAATAAAATAAGTTGCGTGCTCCTTTTGGGCCACCCGGCATATGGGGTTAGGCCACCCCGTAGTTCGACGGAGGTGAATCACCCTGTAGTACGGCGGAGATGGATCACGCTGTAGCACCGCAAAGATAGATCACCTTCTAGCACCACCAAGATAGATCACCAGTGATGGGTCACCAAATAGGACCCCAAAAAAAAAATAAAACCCTACGAAAGGAAATTCTCAATCAGAATCAGATAAAACCAAAGTGAGATTCGAACCCGTTCAATAGGGACTAGTTGACTAATCGATACCCCTGGTATATTTCCATTAAAAAAGTAACAAGATAACAAGAGTATATTTTTGGGTGCCCTGTATAACCATATAACCCGTTAAAAAAATCAAGAAAATTGAATGAGTGTTGAAACCTCTCTCCAAAACTAATATTCAGGTGAATTACAACGACGAAATCAAAAATTACTAAAATAATCAAAAACACATTTAATAGTATAATTCTTACCCTGGCCAAGGGATTTCCTATACGTTTTCTTCGTGTGCGGTGCTCTGCACGGAAGTCCTACTGGGACTTGATGAGTGACTAAGGGCCTTCTGTTTCTTATGAATCTAGAGACGCGAAACGAAGGTTGTAGAATTGAAGAGATGATACCATAGCTAAGACCACATGAGAGATGTGATAGTGATTCAGACATACCTGATTTCGGAAATCCTTTCACCTGGCACAATGAGTTTGGTAACCACCACAAATCCTCTTATTTCAACCCAGCGAGGAATTTCGAATTTCCAACGTCGAATGCGAAGTGAATGGTAAGTACTGGTCACGGCAGTTAGTTAGGGAGCATACATATATTCTTGTACATTTCAGGTATGGTTTTCTATGGAACGGAAGATTCCCATTACTATGATGTTGAATGAATAAAATCAACTTGTAACTGAATTACATTGTTAACATCCTCTGACTTGAAAGGGTAAGGTAGTGTTCTGAAAGGTTACATAGGAGCAGTTTTGATCTTGTGCTAAATTGAAACGTAACAAACGCATCGCTCTTGCCTCGCTATCGATGGTGACACGAAGGCGGCCGAGGACTGTGTTACTCCCCCCACCACTATGACGTATTAACTGCTTTTTTTTGTTGTTTAGTAACAGTAAGGCGATGTGACCTTGAAGTGTCTGGTGCATGGATCATTCAGAATTTCTTTCATATGAGATTTTGTGTGTGTGACATAATGACGTAATCATATTTGGTTGGTTTGAGTGTGTGTGTGTGTGTGTGTGTGTGTGTGTGTGTGTGCGTGTGAGAATGCACGGTACAGGGTTTCATCAAGTAATGAATGTTTCATCGGTGTGAGCCCACCAAGTTAGTACGTCTACATACTACACTTTCAACATTGAAATGATCTCTACATACGTCACACGATGTCGACATGGTGACTTTGAAGAAGTCTTTACACTCAGACAAGACGACTTTGAAGTAGTGGGTTTGACATACATGGTAATGTTGGGATTTGACAGTATCCTTCATGTGTACTCAGTACCCGTCTGTACAGAATGAACACACGTCTGCATATCACGAAGATACACTGAATGTTCCATCGGTGTGAGCCCACCAAGTTATCGGTGTGACGTCACAGCAACAACCGCTTATCGGTAGGAGAACGAGATGTTCACTCCACGGCTTGCGGCTGAGTAATGCGTATTCATCGGTGTGTCCTTAACTCTCTCGATACGGAGATGGCTTTGACGTAACGCATTGCTCTTTCCTCGCTGTCAATTGAGACGCGCAGGCGGCGAGGACTGTGTTAGCATCTGTCCTCTAAACGATAGCGCAACGACCGCTGCTTGTTCGTAACGACTTCTGTTAAGGTATCCAGCTGAGAGCTGGGCTTGGCTGTGACGTCAGGCACGCCAGAAAAGTATGTTTATGCTTTATTATGTTTTTATGGTCTTCCAAGAGTATTTCAATACAATCTCACAACAAAAGGACACAAGCATTAGCTGGAAATATATTTGCGCCATCTATGAACTGAGGTTGAAGACCGTGATCGCCAAAGTGTGTAAAGGCATTGGTGTTCACTTTCGTACGGTTGTGAAGGTCTTGAAGTAATTTGGGAGGAATATGCTTCTTTATTCGAATAAAATAACTGAATAAAAACGAGTCACTGTATTTAGAAGTTGGAGAGCTTGAAATGTGGAAATAACGTCACAATGGATCAAGTGTCAGCTTGAATAGTAGAGACTGCAAGTATGTTTTTTTTTCATAATTGAAAACCAATAATGATTATGACCACTTTAAAAATATATCTAGTATGAACGCGCTAGAGAAAACTATAGTATACAGTACACAGTTATACAAGTGCTTCGGTTTTGCGAAATATTCAGAGAAAATCCCATAGAAAGTGTCTCTTGAACTATTCAATTCAATTGCTCCATTTTTCTATTATTTCGCAACTTTGCGATTCCTGAACTATAATATCTACGCAAAAATTATATTACATTTATGAAAAAAAAAAACGATCGAATCGCTAAGTACTTATTAATACAACCTCACATTTTTAGGAAGGGCTTTCAAGGGAAAATCATGTGTAATACCTGATCAGGTGTATCGTTAGAAAAAATCAAGAATAAAATCTTCGAATTGAAGATGGTTACTGTAACCACTCAGTATATACGCATAAAAACTCAAAATATGAGACTGCTTGGAAACACTGAGATTGACGAGTTTCCATCCAAAATTGGGCAAATTGATAATCAATCATATTCGGAAACAGAAAAATACTTCAGAATTGAAGACAGGCAGTAGGTAATGGAGACTAAATTCAATTAACTTACATTTGATGAAATGATAATTTTCAATTTCAGTTGTTTCAATTGGCGTCCGAAATTATCATCAATAAACCAGAACGCTATATATCAACTGCGCATGATCTTGACGTCCTGGACCTGAATTTTGTAGAACCAGAACAAACCTGATATAATCTGTGTTGAAAAATATAAAAATTAAATTGCTTCGGTCTGTTATATAGCCAAAATTATGAGAAATGCTAAAAAATATTTGAAGTTATTCTTCAAAAGACTGATAGGTGGCACCATCTTTCCGTCAGTAGAAAACTTAATATCAAATAAAAGATTTTTAGGAAACCCTCGAAATAGTAAACACAAAATTCCATATTTATGCTGTGGGTTGACTACTCACAAATTATATCGACTATTACTTGAAAATTAGCATGTTTGGAAAAATCCATCAAAATAAGGTAAGGAAAATTATGCACAGAAGTTGAGAATTTCAATAAAAAATCAAGCGTTTTTGTATAGAGGGGATAAGTCGATAAGATATAAGATGGTGAAGTGAAGGAAAAATTGATTTCATTAGTATAAAACATTTTGAAAAATAGTTTCATTTTACATGATGTGTCTTCGAACTATCGATTTATGCAAACATAATTGAAAAATATTGAATATCATCTTCAGGAAGTGTCACGAAACAATAGTTATTTAACACCCACAACACCGTTTCCATGATGGAAATGGGACATAATTGGTGTGATGCTTGTGAGAGACCCCTAACAAACTCCACCCGAGTGTCGACATGTCTAATATGCAATAATGTCAAACCTGTGACACGATAACAGTGGAACTACTGGTCAAAAAAAAACAACAGCCCTTTTCAGGGCTACATTATTCATACAAACAGTAGTAGTAGTATTCACAGATTATGTGACAAATGACTACTTTGACTAAAAAAGTCGAAGTTGGGAATTTGTTAGTCATTGAATACATATGCATTATATGACAAATTACTACTTTCACTGAAAAGTCGAAGTTGGGAATTTGTTAGTCATTGAATGTCTTCGATTATTTTAACTTTACCGATACGTCATCGCTGATGTGCATATGAAATAAATCGCAAAATTGTGGTCAAATGTGAGATGAAGTGGCTAATATCCCGATAAAAATTATAACGTGTAGGTAATGACAATGAATTAACATTTTCAAATTTATGGAAATGTCAGATCTTCACACATTCTGATGATTTGTTTTTTATTCAACTGAATGTACCTACCTATCACAGTAAATATTGATGATACAGAAATAAACACGTCAGAGAGTCAGCACGATACTTGGTTACATATTTCATGTTGTAAGAACAACCTAAAGATACAATATATTATATATCTATCCATCATCACATTTTGATAGAATAATGAAACATAAAGCCAAAGATATGTTTATAAAATTTCCTCATTTACTAGAAACTTTTAACCCCTCCCACTCATTTAATTTCAGTCACAACAATAAGATATACAAGAAATTCCATAAAATCCTAACAACCTCAAAGGTTAGTTTTTGTGTAGATATGACAGTTAACGAAAAAGGTGGCATTGCAATGTTTTCAAAACATTTGCAGACAATGATATAAACAAACGAGTTTCCATTAAATCATCCGTGCATGGATGTAGAGACACAAACGAATGTCTAAGAAGTAAAAAAACACCAGTTGAAATATATTTGGTCAGGAAATACTCAACACATCATCAACTGAAAATTTATTTATGCATATACGTATGCATTGAGAGCACGTACAATTATGTACCTAAAAAATTATTATATTAATCACTTTCAGATTCAGAACTCTCACCAATGTTTGTAATAATAGGTGTAATATCCATATCACAAAGAAGCTTTTCTCGTTCATACCATTTTTCTATGAGTGATTCGGTGTGTTTCACACATTTTGCCCAGGTTTCAGCGTTGCACTTCTCTAACGCTTCATTCCACAAACTTAATACTTTTTCATCACTGTATCCATCTCTACCAATATATTTGTTATAGTAGGTTTTGCAATCAGCCCAAATTAATTCAATAGCATTCAAATCTGGGTGGTAAGGTGGTAATCTTAATACTTCATGTCCATGTTTTCGTACCAGTTCATCTATAATACATATATATTTTTCTTTAGGTTCATCTTATCCAATTGCAATAATTCTGGTTTTGTCAATTTTCCATCAGAATCAATGTTGTTTTCGTGTAATCAACTAAACATTTTCGATTGTCTTGAAGAACTGGTAGGCTGTTTATTCAAAATTTCACTGTGGTATGGTGCATTATAATCAAAGATGGTTCTTCCAAACTGTGAAGAAACTGTAAAGTGATCCACTTGGTGAACATTGTACTATCCATTTCCCCATGGTAATCTAAGGTGGTAAGTATTTGAACAGAACAATAAACTGGCTTCTGGAATAAACCTTTCGTAGAACCAGCATGCACAACAATAAATCGTTTACCATCATATCCTTCGGGTTTGCGTACACTTTTTACACTATTATCCTGCCGAAACTTTCTTTTATTTCCTCTGGAATAAATCCATGTTTCATCTAAGAAAACCACTTCTCGTGGTTTTAACCTTTTTCGGTTTTCCTGGTATTTGCGTAAAAAAATGCTCGTTGTGAAACGATATTAGGTCTTTCAATCAAAGCTCTTCGATTATCATCGTTCAAAGATCGAAGGGTGAGATGTTTTTTGAAAGAAAATATTCAAATTACCATAGGTACATTTCAAAATTCATAGAATAGGAGAATTGATATCATAACTGCACTTCGAATACGAGATACAAGTGAACCTTCAAATGTTAAAGAAAAATATATTTGACAATAAAGTTTGACTAGTTGACTAATTATCATACATCCAAGGCCTTTCCTGATACAGTTGTGACTGATGAAAATAGAGGGTTATATTTTTCTGTATCAGATGGAGTAGTAGAAAGCCAAAAACTTTCTTTCCCAAAAAAATTAATCACTCCTAAAAATATAACCCCTTCAATTCAGGGTTATATTTGTTTAGTCAGTTTGTTTAGTAGTGTTGTTTAGTCTAGTCAGTGTCGCGTCTAAGTCACGTGCATCGAGTGAAATCTGCTTTCTTTTTGAGAGTGTGCTGCAACGATACACTAAATTTCATTGGTTAAAAATGACATTTGTCAAAATTTAACTAATGGTATAGCTAGAATTAGAAGCCCCGGCGCAACACACTCAAAGAGAAAACACGTGAAATAACATTTATATCATATAGACATCTGAACATTCAATTTGTACAGTCTTTCCTTCACCATGTACTGAGAAGGTGTACTCACTGTCTTTATACATATCGTACAGAGTATTTCGTACTTCCATTTTCTGCCCTTCAGGTAAATCAGATGTTTTCTTTTTGATACGATGACTACTTTTTTCTGGAAATGATGTAATGGGTTTGTGTTTATTTCTTTGTTTGATGTTGAACACCGTTTTTTGAGATATTTCAAGTGCATCTGCAACTCTCTAAAATACAGTTAAAAAAAGTTATGACATTTCTTTTATGATTTTAATGGTTACCTCTTGAACAGATGAAAATGGTAACAAAGGTCCTCCATGCGCTCTCTCCCTTTCAAAATATTTGCACAAGTTCAACACAAATTGTTGTGTTTGTGAATTAAGAATACTTCCAGGCATAATCTAAAAAGGAGTATAAATATATTGTACATGTTTTTGGCATGACTTTATAGATTTAATTAATGTTATTTCTCCTAATATTGTTTCCACACTCCCAATTACTCTTGTATAATATCCCGGTAATGCGGAATTATAGTCACAAATGACAATTGTGAGGTTGGAAATATTAAAGAACATTTATGAATAAAATACATTGTATTGTACTTACTTTGAAAGTAATAATGCCAGGAGACGTTTAGCTTTGAAAAAAAATATTTTCGTAATATATTTGACTGCAAAATACTGTAAAACTGACGAAAACAATACCCAATAACATAAATCAATGATACTGTCAACTGTCAATATCATGTCTGGCAAATGTAGGTAAATTATGTCGGGTGTCTGGTTATCTCTTTCCACTGTTATGAGTAATAATTGATCATCACTATAACATAAGTCTTTGATTAGCAGACAAATGTTAACGAATTGTCATCTGAAAGAGATGTGTGATTTTTATGATCATAAATTGATGACGCATTGGTAAAGTTAAAATAATCGAAGAGTCAAAAAGACACTTAGTAATTTATTTGGTTTACCCCATGGTTGTAAGGGGTGGAAAACGCAACCCCTAAAATTAATTTCCAATGTAAATTTTTGTCTTATTATTTGATTATCATTTAAAAATGTATTTCCGATAGCATGTTTCATTCTGAACAAAAATTGTCTCCTGGATTTTTTGCCCAAAATGAACCAGTTCGCAGCTAAAAAAAAATATTTTACGAACAACTACAGAGATATATCGTGATAAATGCGAACTGGATTTATTGTTATTTTGTAGTTAGTACCTGCATTAAACGATTAAAGGGTAATGAACAAAGCTGATTCATCATTGAAAAAACACACAACATGTAGAAATAATAGTAAATGAGCCACCTATTTGCTCAAATATTCCTGGAGTCTCTCTGATTACCCTGCACGCATCAATGATGCGGTTTCTTAAGTTCTCTACATCGCGAACAGGAGTACCAAAAAATCAAATGCTGTAAATGGCTCCAAATAGAGAAATCGGGGATCGAGCGGGCCAGTTCTATGGTCCTCTTCGACCTATCCACTGATTTGCATATGTTTCAGTTGAATGCTGACGTGCTACTTGACTAAAACGGGCGGGAGCCCCATCATGCATAAAAAACATATCCCTTCTGATGCCCAAAGGAACTTTCTCCAGCAGTACTGGATGTACTTCTTTTAAAAATTGAACATATTCCTCACCATTTAATCGAGGAGGTAGAAAATGAGGCCTAATTAAATCATCCTCAATAACTCCGAGCCATACGTTAAGAAAAAACTGTTCTTGATGGTTAGTTTCGACAATAGCGTGAGGATTTTCATCAGCCCATATGTGGTAATTATGAAAATTAATAATCTTGTCCCGAGAAAAACTACATTCGTCTGTGAATTCTATCGTCNACTAGAAAGATTGCTTTCCCACTAAATGTTGATCATATGACGGTATTTAGAATTTTAAAGGAATAACACTTATACCCTTACCATCTGCAACGAGTACAGGCAGTGTTACCGCGAGACTTTCCGAACCGTCTTGAATTTTGCAATTAGATGCTGGAAATGATTAGAAGAAATTGTGACTTTCCGAAGACGATAGAATTCACAGACAAATGTAGTTTTTCTCGGAACAAGATTATTAATGTTCATAATTATCATATATGGGCTGATGAAAATCCTCACGCTATTGTCGAAACTAACCATCAAGAACAGTTTTCTCTTAACGTATGGCTCGGAGTTATTGGGGATGATTTAATTAGGCCTCATTTTCTACCCCTTCGATTAAATGGTGAGGCATACGTTCAATTTTTAAAAGGAGTGCATCCAGTACTGCTGGAGAAAGTTCCTTCGGGCTTCAGGAGGGTTATGTTTTTTGTGCATGATGGTGCATTCAACTGAAACATATGCAAATCAGTGAATAGGTCGAAGAGGACCACAGAACTGGCCCGCTCGATCCCCGGATCTCAATCCTCTCAATTCCTCTATTTGGGGCCATTTACAGCATTTGATATTTTTTTACTCCTGTTTGCGATGTAGAGAACTTAAGAAACCGCATCATCGATGCGTGCAGGGTAATCAGAGAGACTCCAGGAATATTTGAGCGAATACGTGGCTCATTTACTATGATTTCTATATATTGTGTGTTTTGTTAAGAATAAATTAGCTCTGTTTTTACCCTTCAATCGTTTAATGCAGGTACTAACTACAAAATAACAATAAAACCAGTTCACATTTATGACGATGTATCTCTGTAGTTGTTCGTAAAATAATTTTTTTGTTGCGAACTGGTTTATTTTGGGCAAAAAACCCAAGAAACATTTTTTGTTAAGAATGAAACAGGCTATCGGAAATACATTTTTAAATGGTAATCAAATAATAAGACAACCATGGGGTAAACCAAATGAATTACTGACTAAGTATCTTTTTGGCTCTTCGATTATTTCAAGGTACCGATGCGTCATCAATTTATGATCATAGAAATCACACACCCTGTATGTAACATCTCTTTCAGATGACAATTCGTTAACATTTGTCTTCTAATCATAGACCTATGTTATAGTGATGATCAATTATTACTCATAACAGTGGAAAGAAATAACCAGACAGCCGACACAATTTACCTATGCCAGACATGATATTGACAGTATCATTGTTTCATGTTATTGGGTATTGTTTTCGTCAGTTCTACAGTATTTTGCAGTGAAATATATTACAAAAATTGTTTTTTTCAAAGCCTAACGTCTCTTGGCAACATTACTTTCAAAGTAAGTACAATACAATGTGTTTTATTAATAAATGTTCTTTAATATTTCCAACCTCACAATTGACATTTGTGATTATAATTCCGCATTACCGGGATATTAACAAGAGTAATTGGGAGTGTGGAAACAATATTGATCAAAGCAATTTAATTTTTATATTCTTCAACACATATCATATCAGGTTTGTTCTGGTTCTACAAAATTCAGGTCCCAGGACGTCAGGGTCATGCGCAGTTGATATATAGCGTTCTGGTTTATTGATGATAATTTCGGACGCCAATTGAAACAACTGAAATTGAAAATTATCATTCCATCAAATGTAAGTTAATCGAATTTAGTCTCTTTAACCTACTGCCTGTCTCCAATTTTGAAGTATTTTTCTGTTTCCGAATATGATTGATTGTGAATTTGCCTGATTTGGGATGGCAACTCGTCAATCTCAGTGTTTCTAAGCAGTCTCATATTTTGCATTTGTATGTGTATATACTGAGTGGTTACTGTAACCATCTCAAATTCAAAGATTTCATTCTTGATTTTTCCTAACGATACACCTGATCAGGTATTACACATGATTTACTCTTGAAAGCACTTCCTAAAAATATGAGGTTGTATTAATAAGTACTCAGGGATTCGATCGTTTTTTTTTTCATAAATTTAATACAATTTTTGCGTAGATATTAGGGTAATTCGAGAAGAGATGGGCAGTGAGGTGAGATGGGCACAATATCCTTAAGCGGTTATTTAAAGAACTATTAACATTTCGTCCGCTGCTAGTTGGAGGAGCAGGCGCGGCCATTGTTGTAGAGTCGTTTTATAAGTCGTTGTGTCTATATTTTTATATTATTTACACTGTCAAGGTAAGGTTTCAAAATTTTTCGCTCATATTTTTAAAGATGTGTTACATTTTCGTTTTTACTGTGTTTTGAATAATTATGCTTTGGCATAACTAGGATGGGGCTGGATAATAATGTTAAATGCACTGGAGTCGCTTAACGAACATGTAAACCGTATGGCCGAGGTGCCCATCTCTCCTCAACAAAAAGGAGAGATGGGCATTAAAGGCACAAGGATAGTTGGGCAGGTGCCCATCTATCCTCGATAACTGAGTTAGATTATATTCTGATATTTTTCTATTAGATGCCAACTGTGTATGTTCGGAAGGGAAACACACAAAAGCTTCCTGGACCGAGGAATCTCTGCAGGAGGCCATTGCCAAAGTAAGAGACGGGCAGAAGGTGCTTGCTATTGCAAAATTATATAGCATCCCCAGAACTATATTACAGAACAGACTTGAAAGTGGAATAAAATCAAAAGTTTCATTAGGGCCGCCTAGTCAACTAGGCGCAAAAGTGAAAACGAAAACTGTCAACTATATCAAAAAATTACAAGCGAGAGGATTCGCACCAGACCGGAGGGCTGTGCGTGAAACGGCCTTCAGGATTGCGCAGGCACTTCAAATTAAAACTTCCTTCAGTGAGGATACTGGTCTTGCTGGTTTTCCCTGGTTTAATTCGTTTATGCGCAGAAACCCAAGTTTAAGAATAAGGCAGGCGGAGGGCGAGCTAAAAGATAAGGCTCTAAAAAAGAAATGAGACAGAAGGAAGTTGAAGAAAGAAAAAGAAAGAGAGCTTTTAACAAAGGAATTAAACAAAAGGAAGTTGAAGAAAAAGAGCGGGATAGAGCTTTGAAGAGAGAAATTAAGGAAAAGTAAGCGATGGAGAAAGGAAATAAAGAGAAGAAAAGGAGAAGAAAACTTTCTTATCAGTACGACGAGTCTGAATGTGATGAGGCCATTTCCTTACGTGACGACGGTACTGACGAATGGGACGAAGAAGTTGAGGAAGTTGAAGAAGATGAGCCAAAAGAGTCGCAAGAGGGCACGTTTGTGGTAGTGAGAGTTTCTGGAAAAATGGCCTACCGTTTGCTCGTTGCCAAAATAATTTGTAAAAGTTCAGAAGGCTTGGAAGTCAAATTTTATAAAAGAGTAGAGATGTTAATGAAATTTAAGGAAACCGACGAGACGAATTATGCAGATGAAGAGGACGTTGAAGACCTTCACAACCGTACGAAAGTGAACACCAATGCCTTTACACACTTTGGCGATCACGGTCTTCAACCTCAGTTCATAGATGGCCCTACTATATTTCCAGCTAATGCTTGTGCCCTTATGTTTTGAGATTGTATTGAAATACTCTTGGAAGACCATATAAACATAATAAAGCATAACCATACTTATCTGGCGTGCCTAACGTCACAGTCAAGCCCAGTTCTCAGCTGGACACGTTAACAGAAGTCGTTACGAACAAGCAGCGGTCGTTGCGCTATTGTTTAGAGGACATATGCTAACACAGTCCTCGCCGCCTGCGCGTCACTATTGGCAGCGAAGGAAGAGCGATGCGTTACGTCAAAGTCATCTCCGTATCGAGATAGTTAAGGACACACCGATGAATACGCATTACACAGCCACACGCCGCGGAGTGAACATCTCGTTCTCCTACCGTAAAAGGGTTGCTGTTGTGACGTCACATC